CACAATTTTCTGACACTATGTTCCATTTTTAATATTGTGAAGCAGAAAATGCCTCTGAGTAGGCCACGAGTGTTGCATAATTGCTTTGATCTGAGCTACAAGCAGAGCTATAAAAATATGTTCTGGCTACCTTAAAAGTTTTGTATTTTCTTTTTTTGTATCATGTTATCCTCACTTGAAGCTTTTCTTGCTACCGTTTTTTTAGAAATATTAAGTGACAATATGCAGTCACAGTCAAACTCTTTTTTAAATAGGGTGATCTATATCTTTAAGGAATATGGAAATTACCTAACTATTACCTCACCCAATTGGCAACTCCAGAATGTTTTTGTAAAGAAGGCAAAAACTCTAAAAGCTGTTTTCAGACCATCAAGAAAAGAATGCCTGGTTAACTTTATGTAATTGATAGATTGAGCAGATATTAATGAAAAGACAAAATTTACTTTGCTTTGAGATCCATACAAGATAGAAGTGGAAAAGCTATTATAGCTGGGCCATCAAGGATTGGAGGATGAGAAAAAAAAAAGTTTTCATTTTTTGAGTCATGCTGCTCAAAGCAGTGTGTGCTCCCATGTTACATCACAGTCCCAACAGCCTAGTAGCTCAAAGTGCACCTTATCTGGATCAAGATTCCAATAGAAACAAAAGTTTTAAAATGTTGTTTCGCAGCTGTGGTTCACAGTTAGCACTTCTTGTCTTCCTTGCTCTATTTACAGTTTTTCTAATTCTCCTAAATACCAAGGCATTTCTAAGTTCTCAAGACTGCTTGTGTGAAATCCCACTTCCTTTGAAGATAATACAAATTAGGCCATTGATGTTTGTCACCAAAAATTCCAGATATTCATTACAGAGAAAGATTGGATGAGATAAGCTGAACAAATTGAGATTTCTTTAATTAGTTCATTCCAGAAGCTTGCCCTGTGTTGTAATTGTGAGTTGCTGTCTTTATTTCTCCTGTGTACCATGAGCCTCCATGGCAAAATAATCACATCAAATATTTAGACTTGTATGTTATCAGGGACAGTTTTTTTTTAATTCTCAGCTACTGGAGGTGGAAATCAAATGTGTTTTAATGTACTCTGAGGAATTGTGCGTCCTTTTTCTCAATAACAGGTTATATGCTTATTGATAGCTAGCAACTGCAAACACTTGGCCAGGAATATTTTCTGCTATTTTGGGAAGTACCAAAACATGGAGTAGCTCGTATGGTTACTTTAGGTTTTGGTCATTGATTTAATGAAGTTTCTTCACTTCGTCCAAATCCTCACAAAAGTAGCATTAAGGCACTCTACATTCTCAGTGTCAAAAGGTCCAAAAGATGCCATATCCTTAACAGCAAAATAAATTAATAAATATATATTTATGTGTGTACAGAGTTTAAACTCATCACTTGGGTAACACTGAGTGATACCATACAGAGGGATTATACGAATATCAGCCTGATTTGCATTTTCGAAAAAGAAAGACACTGTGACAGCAGAATGTCTATCCAATGTCAACACTGATCATATCAATGACTGATCATACCAAGTTACTTGTATAGCTAACTCAAAATAATAAATATTCCTTTTCTTTATGCACTATGTAGTGTGAGTGAGATACAACGTTAAATTTCAGGCATAAAGTACTGTAAATCTAGAGAAAGCCATCTGCACATTTCTGAACACAATATTAAATTACCCCTCCTTGCATATGGATTATTATATAATTGTTAGTTGCCTGTTCACATAATAAAAGACTCTTGTCTCATTCACTGCAAAAATGCACCTGTTCTGATCAGAGTTCTTCAAGGAAGACTGACGTTTATAAAAATGTCCATTTATTTCAAAAATCGACTTAATATTTAAATTTTTCAGGGTTCGAAGTATAACTTCAGTCTTACTTAATGCACTCGCAGAGCACTACACCAAAAACAGAAGTATTCAATCCCTCCTGGAATCTGTATAATGCCAAATACCCTACTATCCATATCTCTTATAAACTTAACTAATATATTTTTATAACATCCTATGACCTCAGGACTTCTCAGTCTATCCTCAGTAACAGCCAAGAGTATCCACTGTTCGCTGCATTCAATCTGAGACAATTATAATTTCATTTCTTTGTTTGGTTGGTTGGTTTTGTTTTGTTTTTCCAGAAAGATACATGATTCAGTCCCAATTTTGAGTACTCATCATGCTTTCAAATGAGAGGTTGAATTCTCTGCTTAGCAATAAAATGAAAAACAACTAAATACCGAATCTACACTCATGAAATCATATAATTTCCCCTCTGTAGGTCCACGCTAGATATTCCTAATTGCCCTCCTGTCTCTACTATGTTTGGAAATAGCTGCCAGGTTGATCTTTTCTATCACATTTCCTGGAATTGATGTTAGGATGACCAGTCTCTAGTTTCCTCCTTCTTGAGGACAGCACTTTCTTTTTTTTTTTCCCCTCAATTCTCTGGAACCGCCTCCCAAAGTCAGGACCTTTCAAAGATAATCAAGAGCAAGTTCACAGTGATAAGGAAAACATATGGATTAACCCCTTCAGTTGCCATAGGCATGCAGTGTATATCTTGTGTATTGTACAAGTGTGGTCAAGTGCAGTGAAAATGCTGAAGGCTGGTCTTATTGATAAAGATCACGATGAAGCCATGGAGTACCCTGATTTATTCCTTGTCCTTTGCCCTGAGGTCCTTTCACCTCATTTAGTGGTGGGCCCATTTTCCTGCTCTTTCTTTCAGTGCTGACAGGAGCTCTTCCTGTTGCTATCTATGTCCCCTGCTAGGCTAGGCTTTGGTTGTTCTTGCTATGCATTCACAGACTGCATTCCTGGATCACCTGGCCCTGCTTCCACATCTTGCACACTGTCTTTTATAAGGTCTGTGTTTGTCAGTAGCAAGCAGGTGCTACTCTAAACTTGTCACAGGAACCACCTCACTTGACGTGAAAGGAATGTGGCTTACTTCAGTGCTGCAAAAGTTTGGCATGTGTTTTGTAGCCCATGCAATTTACTAAAACCTATAGTAACAGTTCACGATTTCTCTATCCATTCTGCCCTTCCTAAAGAATGCAGACACAAGTCTAGAAGCATCTAGACAACACTGAAATTACACCATGATTTTTTCTCCATCCAACCCCTCTTCCCCCTATATATCATGGCAAAAAAAATCTTTCTCATTAGATTTGTTTGGCAGATTTTTGAAATGAAAAATAACCTGAAGAGCCAAGATAAAGCACTAAATAAACAAATTAAATTTACCAAACTGCATTCTATCACAAAACATCTGCATCTAGGATACATTTGTATCTCATATTTGTGACAGAACATAAAAAAATGACCTATCTGGAAAGAAGTAAGCATTGTTGGCAGCCTTGTACCAAAGATACCCCTTCACCATCATCAGAAGTACTACACTGAGTTATCTGATTCTATACAGTGTGCTCCACAACACTACTGTACTAGTGAGACTTCATAGACTGCTAAATGTTATTCTTATGCTAGCTTTTCAGTATGCCTGATTTGTATTTGAAAAAATAGTTTACAGAATATTCCAGGTCCAGACATCAGCTACTACTAAAACAAATGTACAGAAAGAGATTTTCCTTTGCTAGATATGAATTAAAATAATGATACATTTCACAGTTTTTAGTTACTTTTGAAAGAACTCAGGTCACAGAAAGCCAGAAGCACCGGCATAAAAGAAAAATAGAAAAAATTTTCCTCTGTAGTAGATAGTAGAAGGCTAATATCTTTAAAAACATGCTTTGTAGTATGGCTGATTACTTATACAATTGGAAAGGCAAACTCATAGGAATAAACACACAAACCTTTCTTCAAATTCTCTGAAGTTCTCTGATGCCACATTTCATTTCTACCATGATAGCAAGTGTAGGGAAGCTAACATGAATCTTTTCCTCATTTTTTCAACAGTGGTCAAGAGTAGAAAATTGGAACTCGCATGAAAATCATTACTGCATCTTTTGCATAATTCATTTTTAAGCCTCAAGTTAGATATAATCTGAGCCCAAAGCACTTCAGATGATAGTTATTGTGTTATGTTAGAGTTTGTCCAAGAAGGTGCATCATGCTGTAGACTGGAGAATGGGATCAAGACACAGAAATCTAAAATGCATGGCTAGGCAGTCATGTCAACACACTGTTTCATCAGACATTCACTCAGAGAAACGTACACAAATGAAAATAAAAGTGCCTAAAGAAATTCCATTATCATAGATACATGTAACACCGATATTTCAGATGTGCTGATTTAAAAAGAAAACTGAGCAGTTTTCTTTTAACAGTTATTGTGGACCATTAAGGCTCCTGCATTTCTGCTTCGCTTTCAATTCTGCATCATTCTATTCTGATCAATAAGTCTAGATTGGAAAAAAATTAGATTATATTGGTGAATCAGGCACCTCACTTCTGACATATTTTAAGTTTTCCTTTCCAACACCAGATGGTTGGTGTGTATTATGTAGCTTTATTGAGATGAAATTTAAAAGAACTAAAATACTCTGTATGCTTTTATTATCAAAATGCTCAGTGTGTCACCTAAAGAAATCTACAAAAGGAGAGAATAAGGCTTGTCAACTGTTTCACAGTAATTACAGCTCTCATGAGATAATGCTAGGAAATTACAATATAGCTTAAAAGAATAAAATGTAAAAGACTTTTTTTTCAATCAGAAAAAAAAAAAAAACAACAACCAGCAAATACTACTTGTAACATTTATGCAAGAAAGAGCTTATTTCAAATGGGTAACCATCAGTATATTAGATATGTAATCAACTATAATAAAAACAAATTCTGCCAGTGTTTAATACTGCACATTGTCCACAATTCATACTGCATATTTTAGCTATTTTTTTTCCCATATCCTTACAGATATTCACAAGGTTTGCCAGTTCATTTAATACTGTATATTAAAATAATATAAAGCTTCCGACACTTGCTTGAAATGCTGCCTTAGAGCTCTAGAGCCTTCAAACCAGCACATTTTAGTGTACTTACGGTCATTGCATAATGGTCCGCTAAAGGAGGTCATGCTACAGTCACAACTGAATCCATCCCACTGCTGCAAGCACACTCCCTGGTTTGCACACGAATCCTCTTGGCACGTTGTGCTGGGGCCTGATGAGAATACACAAAAAAACAGACTTGCACTTTGGCTTCCAACAAACGTGTTTCTCACTGGATCACATTAACAAGTTGCCAATATCTCAAACAGAATGAGCAAAGTTACCAAGGAAAAGACACATAAACTTGCTGCTTTTTTCCAGCAACATGTAACGTTAAAAAGATATTTTTGCTTTATAATTTTACAATTAATATGTCATAAACACATAAAAATGCACAAACTGAAGCAGCATTATTCCAGGTACAGTGGAGACATTAACTTTATTGCAAGTTATTTGTTAATCTCATCTCAGACCATTAACTGGCTAAATGTTTTCTAACAATTTCAGTATTTTTTCCTGTAGATACATTTCAACCAGCGAAGTCAGATGCCACAGGAAGCAAAGCACTGGGAGATGAAACTAAAGGAAAATAAAGGAAAAGCCAAACAAAACAAAACCAACTAACTAAATAAATAAAATGAAGCTACGTTTTATAATAGTTTTAATTCCAGAAATTGCTTTAAATTGTTTAGGTCTGAAATTAAGAGAAGCCTGGATTCTTTGACATGAATGTTGGCAAGTACTGAGTCACATGCTTCAGGGGGATCCCATGCAGACTTGTTTTTAAGGGAAAATGAAGAAAATCAGACTACTAATGAACCAGCATGCCAAAATGTGACATACACATGAAGAACAAACTACTCTTATTTCCAGAGAACCAGAACTAGACTACTGAAATATAAAGAAATTCAGAAAGGTATGATCAAAGCACTAAAGCAGTCACTATACGAAACATACTCAAGACTGAAAGCCTTTATGCAAACTCTGCTGGAAAATGAAGGTTCATGTAGCGCATTGTTTTAGAGGTGTGAAAGACAAAATCTGAAACAAAATAACACACTTGAGTTCTGAAATGTACAGAGCATTTATTGCAGAAATCCAACCGTGCATTGGGGGTTTCAGTCTTGTTGAATACACACAGGGCTATCTACCTTGCAAATCAGCTTTCATCAATGCAACTTTGTCAGCAAAATAAAAAAGCAAAATATATTAAATGTTAGTAAGCAATATTGAAATGGCAGCAAACACAGAAAAAACATTCAGAATAAAGTGCATGCTGCTGTTAAAGAGAGGAAGAAATGCCATATAATGCAAACAAATTAATGCTAATAGCCATAAATCTTCAGGCAAGCCAAAATAAGAAAGCAGTAATTTGCCAGTATTTTACTACAAATATAATGGTTAATTGAGCTGATGACATGTAATGAAGGAAAATTAAAAGTTTTTTTTTTCTTTCTTTTTCCCCTTGGATAGATATGAATGCATTAGCAGAATAAATGCATGGCTGAATCCTGACTAGCCATTTGTCATGTTCACGTACACTGAATTCAAGAATAATTAGCGCTGTCATCCATTCTGGTCTTTCTTTTTTCTAGCCTTGTCTCAATGACTGGTGAATGAAGACTGAAATACATATCATGAATTACTGATTCCTTTCAGCTCGCACACACATTTCACACCAATTTTTGACATAACAAGAAAAAATTTGATTCTGGGATTACAAAATTCTCCTAAATCATTTTGGGGAATACACATTTACATCCATTTGAAAATACCATTTCCAGTTAGGGATGACAGAGCAAATCCAGCCCTAAGATTATGTAAATCCTCTAAATTATTCTGGAGAGAAAGATCCACTTAAATCCATCTTTCACACTGCATCTTCTTCAAAGATCTCAGCGTGGGATTTTCATTTGATTTGCCATTATTTTAGTAATCAGTCAGCTCAATGGCCACTTGCTTTAAACGAGTCCCTGCTTGAGCACACCTCTCAACCAGGGCCTGAACAGTCATCACTGTGATTAAGGATGAAAGACAACGTACCCAACATCAGTGTTCAGGCAAGACTGTTAAATACTTTGTTATATTTTCTCCTATTCAAATAACAATAATATCCATAATGGATTGATTGCAGTATGCAGACATAAGACTATGATTTTCCTTTCACAGGAGCCCTGATCCCAGAAGTTTAAACATTTGGGCATTACATCACCCTTTCTTGAGCTAGGGATTATAATGACAGAATCCCATAGCTGACAAGACACATTTTTTTTCCTCACCAGATTCTGCTGCTCAGAAACTTTACAAAGATGAAGTGAAAATATCTGTAGGTGTTTAAATGTTATATATTCATGCATTTATTTACACTTTAGTTATGCAATGTTAAGTTTCCTCATCATTGCAAAAGTAGAGCAAAAGTCACAAGGACTTAAAAGTACAAAAACTGCAGGACCCTGGAGGCATATTAAAAAGCGCATGTTAAAAAACACAAATATAAAAAAATACAGATAAAATTGTGGTAGAAAAGGTTATTCTGCTTCTTTTGAAATTTCTTAGCACTTTTGGTTTTATTTGTAGTAGTCATCATTCAAAAAATGCCATCAGAACTGGCTTACTGGTAAGACTTTTCTTAGAAAAAAGAAAGAGGGAGAGATATTGGAGACAGTTCAATATTGGAAAGTACCATTATATCCCCCGTAACTGGTTTATGTACTCCTACAAATTATACAAATCTATGTTATTTAGTAAAATACTGTAACACACTCGTCTCAATTGCTTACCTTTAAAATAGTTAGCTAAAACGTCAATCAAATTTATTCAGTCTTCACTGTGGACTTTTTAATAGATGGAATTTGGTCTCTCTGCCTAATGTAAGGGCTTATGGGCTAAGCATATTACACAAGAAGCATTCTTTTAGTTGATGTGCACTATGTTTCACTATATATATATATATATATATATATATATATATACACACGTATATATATAAATTCATCTCACAACCAAGAATCTTCATATATGTTAAGAAACACTATGAAACTTACTACATGGTTATTTTCAGACAAATTGTATACATACATGCATGCAATTAGTGTATTAATTTCCAAATATATTAAAACAATTTTTTAAAATAATTTAGTATTTTCTGTAAGTCTGATTAAAGTGCATTACGTACAATGGATCTGTTTAAAGAAAAACAGGGTTGACAAAGTGTGGTTCTGGAGTTCACCATTAACAGTCTGAAGACCTAGTTAGCATATTCTGTTTTTAGTTGTCAGAATCTATCTATTCTATCCATTGAAAACATGCCAACAAGATGAACTCTGATACATGTAAATTGTATTTAATGCTTAATGATGGAGAACAGATACCCTCAGCCTGTGATTTTAATTCTGAAATGCAAACTTTACAATTTGTCACCCCAATCGTATAATGTGGGGCTGCACAAAAATATACCTAAAAAAAATACCTTAACACACTTTTATAACAGTAAAGTTATTGACAAATATCAGTTTTTTAAGGACAAAGTCCTAACAGATAAAATTAAATCATGGCAACAAACATGATAGAAGAGAGTAAAAGACCTTTCACCCCTCTTTTTTTTTTTTTTAATGGGGGAATTCAATCTTAAAAGAATCTGAAGAATATCAAATCCAAGTTTCTCATTTTGGAGGCTATTAGCAAAGCCTCCTAAGTATTAGCAAAGGACATGCACACACTGTCTTTTGGATTGACAGTGGTAGTGACTTACACTTTTTGCTTTGAAATTAATTCTACTACTGTGTGTCATCAGCTCTTTGGACTCAACAGCTCAGGGGATTTACAGATCTTAAACGTCTCATTGCCATTGAAGAGGTAAAATTGTTCAGCTCTATGGATGAAGACACTCCTGTAGGTACACAGCAGCGGAGCGCTGGGCAGCTTGAGGCATACAAGAGACTTCTAGAAGGCAGCTAAATTTGCAAGACTTCCATATGTTTTTTTATATGTCAGAATATTTATGTACATCTGACCCATGGTCTGCAAACAAGAGACCGACTTGGTCAAACATGGGAAGATCACCAACATGGGTCAAACAGCAGAACAATGAAGATGGAAGAGTTCACTTGCAAGGTTGATGCAAAAAAGGGTGAAAGGGGATATTTCATTCCATGGTGTTTAAGTTTTCTTTCTATTGGCAAAACTTTTGATGAGGCAGACCTCTGAGAACCAGGCAGCACATCTGGTTTAACCATTCTGCTTCTGATTTTGGTGTTAGAAAAAGCTGATTCTCCACCAAAGAGAACAATATTTGAGTTGCCTTTATTAAACTGCTGGTAGCTTTATTAAATTCACTGACAGCTTAGTTGTGCCATTGGTTTAAAAGGTGAACTTGCATTCTAGGCCTATGGCAATATTTCTTTGAACTACATAAAATTCATTTAAAAAATTACATAATTTCAAAAGAAGCCATGAAATGTATAATGGAATTAAAGCGTACTGTGACTCTTTAAAGGGATGGTACAGGCATGGAATTCGCTCATGACATTCAGAAAGCAGAATCTAATTTTTCAAACTCACTGTAAATGAACATATATATATATATATATATATATATATATATAATTTTTTTTTTCATTCCTGAGAGAGATATAGACACTAAGGCTATATAAAAATATGCTGTGAATTTTACATCTTTCTATGTTCTATCAAGAGAATTTATATTGGTAACTAAAGGAAACAGGAAAGGAACAAGCAAGTTCCACCCACACAAACGTACTGTAGGTACAGTAAATGAAAAGAGTTTGTCTGTCAGAAAGTTTGATGTGGCGAAGCTTGAGGAATCCTCTCTCAGTTCTATTTGAATAGTCTAAATTGTGTATTTACAAATGCAACAAACTTGGTATCAAAATTATTGAGATTCAGAACTGAAACCCTAACATGTCATTTACACAACTTCTGCCCAGAGAAGAATGGTACTTGAGAGATGAAAAGATGTAGAATTGAGCAAGCCCACAAAATTCAGCACTGTGTGAGTAAAATATATATACAAGGACAATTTAAGTTATTTTATAAAGAAAAGTAAAGTGGAATTGAATGACAGGAGGAAAAAGAATTAGACTGATACCTTTGACTTACAAATACACCTCTCAATACTATCCTCACTTACATTCCACAATATTTCAGATGCGTCAAAATGTGAGATAAAACATATTTGGTTGCTATTGGCTTCAGATATGAAGATCCGTGACAGTACAGATCTCAAAGGTAAGCTAAAATAGAGTTGAGGGAAGACTGATCTTGAAGTGTCATAAATTATCCTTCAATTAATAAACACAAAAGGTCTGTTTTAAAATTGTCTTTAATTAGCTAATGCTTTAGCATTACCTACATCTACGTGTCATGAAAATACAAAAGGACTCTATTGAAGCTAATTGATTTTGTTTCTATCATTACTTAAAACATCATATCATAAGTAAATAAGATACATGCAAAATAACTAGGCCATATAATGGAGAAGGATGGAACCTACATTTAATATTTAAGAAGTTAACTCACATTCTCAGACCCATCTGTGCTGTAGGGCAGGCAAAGATTTTTATCCACAACACTAATAGAAATGCAGTCTATGTTAGAAGGATTCCAATAAATTAAGTTATTAGCAGGTAATATGCAGAATCAGCGCAATACTTTCACTATCATATAAAAAGACATCAGCATACTCAGTACCTTCACATCCTCTTTCTATTTGCCCATTGCAGAAGAGAGCATCTGAGATTAGATCAGGGAGCCGTCCATTCAAATCAACTGATGCAAGACAGCCTTGAAAACCCTCCTTTGCATGCACCAGCTTTGGTAAGGACTTATACATTTCTTTGGCCACTCCTCCAATATATAAATCACCTGTTAAGAAGAAGGAAATATTAGTCATAGAAAAAGAAAAAAAGTGCTGTAGAATTTTTGAGCTGAGTGAACTTCAAATAAAAAAAATTCTTCAAAACTTTTCTGAGACCTCAATAAACTTCCAGAGATTGCGGTATTTGCTCCTTCAAGATGTTTTCAGGATAGTGAGAAAGACGTGTTGGAGATAAGTTTTCAAGAGAAGACAAAGCACATCCTTCTTGTCATAAGGAAAGAAGAGTGAGAAGGTTTTGTAGGTGGTTAGCTAGCACAATTCATCATTAGATGATTGTCTGAATACTGCTGGAGCTCCACTCTAATACCAGTTTTTTTGTTACACTGCTTGTAACATGTCAGAGATGCTGCTTTATTATTTAAATGCAGAAGAAAACACTGGTGGCATAGATGATGTGAGAAGATTTAGCAGGACTATGTTTTCCAAATACATATCTATTCTTCATAGCTGCATGACTTAGCAGTACCTGAAAATGTTATTTATGTGCCAGCTGTCATATATAGGAAACACGTTTCTATTTCACAAATGAGGATTTTAGTATTTAGAATTTACTTTCTTCTACAATGCATCCAACACTGACACGTCACGAATGTATTCAGGGAATCTGCACCCAGATCATTCTGACCATGAATCCAGAACATTGATGTAAAAAAGCACTCAGTGGTACACCAAGATACACCTAAGGTTCACTTATCCAGAACTATCAAATTAAAAACAGAGCAAGAAGAGCAGGCTTAGAGATATATCTTATGAGAAAGTTATACATGCCACTGGTCAGCAGTAAAATGACTGATTTCCCTCTCCAAAATTTGCACCTTGTGTCAGTCATTTAGGAACGGTGCTGGTTGGATGACTTCAAAATGGCACTCTGCCCACTGAGCAAATGGAGTTCTATTATCCAAAATGCTCATGATTGTGGACAGGTCCTATAAACTGCTCAGAACCTTGGGCAACAGGGCTGCAAGATGGTTATTTCCTTCATTTGAGTAATTAAATAGCTTGAAGATTTACTTTGGAAGTACAGTAACACAGATGAGGGTATGCATTTCTGTTTTAAAACATTTTAGGCTGTGCCTTTCTTTCACATATTTGGCATCTCAGGTAACCAGAACACTTTTCCTCTACTCTTCAAATTAACAACAACCTACTTCCATAAGGAGTGCCTCAAGTGTCAGACTACAAGCTTCACCAGGTGCTTTCCATACCTAACATTTCCTAAAAGTTTACCATTCTTTGCAGGCAGATTTTAAAGCAACAGAACCAGCCATCATCACTACCCTATGTGGCTAATTTTAATCTGTTATGACTAGGAACAGCAGCTAGACCTTTTCCTTGCTTGCATTTCCTTGGCGTACTGACTTGTTTGCAAGGGAGCGCAATTCAGGGCTGTTTGTAACAGCTTACAGTTTACCTGCAAGGAAATGACCTGAATCAAACAACTGCATACTACACTGAAACATTTTTATTCACTGCATACCAGCCCTTAAACTCAACTGTTTCACTGTTAAACTCAACTGAATCACTGGAGCCAAAAACCTTGGGAACGTGTGTATTATTAATCTTATAACCCATCCAAGCAAAAAATCTTAGCAATCATCATAATATACCAAGAAACCTCAAGCTTTCCCTATTCACATGGATAATTTGAAAAACAAAATAATGCTTTCCTCTAGAGCTTTAAGATATAGTATAAATCTCAGAACCGTGATGTTAGGCATAGCAGCTTAATATATGGTGATACCTGCATTCCTACAAATAGCACATAATTCATTCACAGTAGAAAACCTTTGATATTTTTCAACCAGCTGTACTGGAAACAAGTTAAAATCTCTTGCCCCATCATAAATGTTCATCATCTTTTTCTCAGGTGAAACATTTAGAAAGTAAAGCTCTTATGGGTTTTCTAAGTTCTATACTTTCAGTCATTGTCAGCTCAGAATATAGAAACAGTTCATCTGACCTGATTGCAACAGACTTAAAAGAGGGAAACTCCAGAAAACAATAGAAAGAAAGCTATATTTATGCTAGAGAGGTCAATTTTTTCCCTTCTTCTCGATGCACATGCAATCTTTTCTTAAAACTCTCAACCTAACAACCATTTTTATTCTTTGAACAATTAAACCTTTAAAAGTGCAGACTTCTGAAATGTTCCCTTGCTAACTCCTAAGATCCATCCCTCAAGAAAATTCAGACTGTGAATTTTCACAGTCATTTAGCAATCATTTTGATGAATGGGAAGAAAAAGTTTATGTTACAGTGGCAGAAGACGGAGATGAACTCAGAATACTTGCTCCTGAAAATAGAAAAGTGAAATACGGTCAACTAGCTATTGTATGTACAGAAGTGTAATGCACTACACTAACATACAACATACAAGCAGCCATACTGACTCTTGGATTTACAGTTTTAAAACCATATTCAACTATTTCCTACCCACTGAAACTTTCCCAGACTTAATATCAAGTATGATTTGAGTCTGCTGCTGATAGAACAAAATAATGCTTTCTTGCAGAGACATAACTTCTTTTGGCATTTTTTCCTATTTGCCATCACAAACATTTTGCGTAGCTGCTTTTATTTCAATTAATAATTTAACACTCTTTATTTCTGTGTTCATCACATTGAAAAATTAGATTAGTAGGAACAACACTCAGTCCATGAGAAATTCAGGCGAGACAACTACAGAAAATGTTGTAAGTGAAAATATTTAAGAATAAGTTATTTATGCAGTTTAGCTATTTCACTAAAAAGAAATAAGAGGAATCAGCAGATTATGAGTCAATTCTCAGGTTTTGCTATCTTATTCACTTCTTATGTAGTACAGCTTTACTTCTGGAGATGTCATACATTAAAGGCTTTCAGGATTAATGCCTTATTGCATATCTTGTTTCCTTTACGAATTACACACAAATTATAAAGATGCTACAGTTCATCAGATCAATAGCATGAGATCATGACACTACCAAAGATATCTACAGCAATACTACCATCGCTGAAAATAGGGGGCCATTTCAGAAGGGCAACCGAAAATGCAATTCTATTTCTTTCTTTTTTTCAACAGTTGACCATTTTCTAGGGGTCATACTGAGAGGAATATACTGACACATCCATTATTATAGTGCTAACCATAGATTCTGGAACTACAATTTAGCTATTACCTTTTCTGTGTGTATTTTCTTCTGAAGTTCATTTTCCTTTTTAAATGTATTTCTGGGAATCAACTTTTTTTTTTTTTTCCCCCCAATAAGCTTCCTGATTTTCATTCATTTAGAAGGTAACAAATGCATAATTAAATATGCCAAGTGGCAAATAAAGACAGAGAAGAAAAGGGCGAGGGAGAGGGCAGAATGCTCCAAAAATACCTTTGGATATCTGGAGAAGCTTAGGATCTGCCAGAGAAGCTTCAAACTTCCAGAGCAGACACTCCTTAGTCTCACAACTCTTCTTATTTATATTAGAACTAGTTACATAGAGCTGTCCTGTTTTATTCAAAGGAGGAGGATCATTTTCTCTCTTTTCTGACGCCAAAAAAATAAGCATGCTAGAGTGTTACTCACTGGCCTGTGTGCTGTGTGCTAGAGCAATTACCTGGAAGGCAACACTTCCAGAGCTCTGTGTACAAACCAGAAGAATAATACTGCTGGCTGCTTACACCATATGCTTTGGTAGAGAAGAGTTCAGGGGGTTTTATTTATTGTTTACATATTTTTACAGATAATGCTGAATCTCAACGATACCTACAGGTGTTCTCCTATCTACATCCATCTCTTTTCTGACTTAGAGATGATTTGTGCATTGAGGAATGCATGAAATTAACTCAGAAAAAATCTGCTTGTTAGTAAATGAACCCAGGTTCTCAATGTAGTTTATGTTTTGCCATATGTAGCAGGTGCTCATTTCCTGACAGAAACAAGTCATTCAAATACGGTTCTATTTACAAATAAAAACAACAACAACACCAAAAACTAAAAAAATAAAAAATAAAAAATAAAAATTCTGGAAGGATTTGTGGTGTGGCTTTTCCAAAATCCATGAAAACAACATCACCTGCATACTTTTATATGGCACAAAAGCAGCCATATAAAATCCATCACTCGTTCCAAAAGTGGACAATCTCTCTTCTTATTCTGTTGTTTTCAATGGTACTTTCATCCATTCCCTTCAGTTCTTCTCTTTCATTATAGAAATCTGTATGCCTAGTTTCTAACGCCACACTGTGCAAAATCACTACTATTTCTAGGAACAAGACTGCTTCTGCACTATACTGGGAAGAGATAGATAGCCTGGCATAACATGGTGGGCTCTGAAAGCACAACATGCATCTCTGCCATTCCTTCATATGAAAACACAAAGGAATAGCTGGCTGTGGCAAAGTTGAGGTGGCAGTCATGCTTTTCTCCAAATACACTGTTTCAAAATGATCAACTGTATAACAGCTTCTTCCCCCAGGCAGTCAAAGAGGAATGAAGACTACAAAGACTGAGAAATACAACAGGGAAAGCATAATCTGGAAAGAAAAAAGCGCTCACTCTTCAAGTCCTTCACAAAGCAGATGATTTGCTGTTACAAGATCAATTCAAATTGCTTTATAATGTGTTGTTTAATTGCACAGTCAATTACCAGGTGGATCTCAATATAAGAAGGTCCCAACTCATGTTATTTTCGAGTTATTTGAAAGACTCATGACCTGAGTACACAACCTGAGATCAGATGTTCAGAGCCCTATCCAGCCTAACATTAAATGTCTCCAGGTAAGGGCTTCCACCACCTCTCTGGGCAGCCTGTTCCAGTGCCTCACCACCCTTACTGTAAAAAAACTTTTCCTAATATCCAATCTGTCCCCTTCTTTCTTACAGCCTCCCTTTAGACAGAAAAAGGCTGCTATTTGTTCTCATGGAGCTGTCTCTTCTCCAAGCTGAAGAGCCCTGGCTCTCTCAGCCATCCTTGTAGGAGAGGTGTTCCATCCCTTGGATCACTTTTGTAGCCC